AAGTTTTATTTTGATGAATTTGTATTGATTATGATGTTTGATTATATTGCTTGCTTACCACACACACAATTTAGTCCTCTAAGCATGTTCTCTGTCCCTGCCAGGGAGGAATCCTGCATCTATTTGGCTTAGGCATTTTTATACTTTTACCTTTGTGCCGCAATTTCTGCATCTGTTAAGTGTGCAGAAACACGATTCTGTGCATCGTCCAGGATACAGGATTAAGATTTGAAACAAGGTTTTAAATATCTTCTAAATGCTGATGGCTACAAATTTATAAATCTGGCTCTAGATGCATGTATCTCCAACCCTTTACTCAGCATCTCTACTTTGGAGCTCAACAAGTCCAAAACTGAAATCCTGATTTCCACTCCTCTGCATAAACCTGCTCCACCTGCAGCCTTCCCCATCTTGATTTTCAAGATATTGAAATAACTTCTAACAAATCTTACAGCCTCTACCTTTCACCCCTGTAGGCTATTCTCAGCTCTGTAACCAGAACCTTTGATAAATGTAAGTTATATGATGTCAGGTTTCTGCCCAAAGCCCTCCAATGGCCCCCATGAAAGTCAAAATCCTTAGAGTGATTCTCAATCACCCTCCATTACCTTTCTGCATTCTTGTCATCTTCCCTTCGCTCACACTGTCTCAGCCACAGTGGTCTCTTTACTGTTTCTCGGGCAAGCCAGTGTAATTCTGCCTTAGAATATTGGCTTTAGCTCTCTCTCTTTCTGGAACCCTTTTTCCCTTAAACATCTACTTGGCTAACTCCCTGCCATTGTCAAGTCTCCTCAAACCCCACCCCAGTGGGCTATACCGAGGACTTTTTTTATACTGCACTCTGCACTTCCTCCCTGCCCCCAACCCCTTATCACTTAACATGTGGACTCTAACACAGCACGTAATTCACATGTAATATTTCCTGTTTATTGTCTTTGGGCATATACACCTCTAGGGTGGGGAAACTGTTTTCTTCATGAATCATCTCAAGCATGTAGAGCACATAGTAGGTTTTCAGTAAGTGCTGTCAATCAATGAATTAAAGAATAGAGAGAATCTACATGTTTTTGGCAAAACTAACATAGGCAAATCTTCAAACGGAGATCCTGAAACAGAGATTTGGTTTAAGGATCTTTTCTAAAGTGGAAGCCAGAAAAGCTAAGCAAACAAAACTAGGTCTTTAGATTGCTACTTTTTAACTCAGAGAAATCCATATTACAACAATTTGTTACTTCCAATGAGATGACAACATATGAACAGAATTCATACGTGTGGAATTTTATGGTGTAGATACAAAAAAACATATGAGCCTGTGTTTTTATTTCTCAGTGTTTTATTGCTTTAGCCAGGATGTCAACTAACTATATAAATTTCAACATTAAGAGGTACAAATTAACTCACTAAAATATCTGTCAGATCTTTCTGCATTAATCAAATTTGATGTATTGTAACCTACTGGGGAAAAATATTTGTGACAGAAACTCAAAAATAATTGAATAAGCACAATATTAGAAAGCATGCACTTGAGTTATTATGCTTAAATGAAGAGAAAAAGAGCAGGAACACGACATTCCTGTTGTACTTTCACACGGCTATTTATTATAAATTTCCTACATGTTGTGGAGAGATTTCCTACCTGTTGTGTACTACTTATGAAAGACTTTAATCTAACTAGACACACTCAAGTTATATTAAAATATGTTTTGATCTATTTTAGTTGCTTTAAAGATTTGTTGTAAATTCAACATTCAATATTCATTAATTTTTTAATGTTAGTTTTGTAAAACTTTTTTTAAGTTTTGGCCAAATTCCTCAACTTGAATAAGTAGTTTCTCTCGTTAGCCAAGAACCAACATCATGTTTGATGGTGAAATACCAAAGGCATTTCCATTCAAATTTTAAAGAAAAGAAAAGGATGTCCTGTCTCAAATATTACATAACATTCTTCTGAGTATTGTGGCCAATTCATAAGATAAGAAATAAAAATAAGAGGCATAACTAGTGGAAGGAGGAGAAGAATGATTATTTTTAATCAATAGAATTATATACTTAGAAAGCCAGTGAAAATCTCTTAGAATCATTAAGAATTCGCTAAAGTGATAGTGCAATGTGAAAACATACTATTTTAAATAAATATAAAAATGTTAAAAATATCAGAAGCTAAGGTTCTGTTCTTATTTATGGCAATGTATGGCAACATACCTAGAATAAACGCAAAAGAAAATGCAGCAATTATAAGAAAGAAACTACAAGCTTTTTTTGGAAATATTGAAAGATTTGTCTGCATGAAAGCCCAAACACTATGAAGATACCAGTTCATCCCAAATTAGTTTATAAGACTAACATTATTTTAATTGAAATAGTTCTTTTCTTGAACTGGACTGATTGAATAATCTTAGAGGTCTTCCTACTCGAGTGACTTAGAAATTATGTCTATTACTCTTTTCTTCTAGCATGGTTCCTTAAATTTTTAACAAAACATGTTTAATAATAACATGTTTGTCTACCAATATCAAGATTATGGCTTATTTTAATTCATCACCCACAATCACCAACAATTTCCAGGTTCACCTGAGATCCTCTGAAGTATTCATTGTATATTACTGTTTTTTTTTCCCAGAAAGCTTTTAAATTAATTTGCCATAATCTTAGCCACTTCATTCAAACTGAGCTATAAGTTTTATCAGTGTCTTTATTCACCAAAGGTTCTTGTCAGACAGAAGCAGGAATAGTCACAGACATTCCATGGCTCCCCCCTCCCGCCCCCCACCACACACACTTGTACAGATTATTCCATCTTTCCAACTTCATTCCTGATGTCAGTTGATAACGAAGTTGACATCAGGGTAATGGACAAATTCAAAAACAGATGAGTACTTGCTGGCTTGCTAATTTACATTGGAAAAGACAGGGAGTTACTCTAGAAAGAAGGGCCAAAGAAGTAGACCTGAGCAGTGAGTGGCATGCGCCTGGTGTAAGAGAGATTTTGGAGACTTTAGAAGAGAGAAGAGGGAGCTTTTGGGTTTGGAAGCAGCTGGCATGTGTGGGAGTTACTGAGAAGAAAAACACCTGGGTTGGGGCACCTGGGTGACTCAGTCGTAAGCATCTGCCTTCGGCTCAGGTCGTGGTCCCAGGGTCCTGGGATTGAGCCCCGCGTCAGGCTCCCTGCTCAGCGGGAAGCCTGCTTCTCCCTCTGCCTCTGCCTCTTCCCTTGGCTTGTGCTCTCTTTCCCTCTCTCTCAAATAAATAAATAAAATTTTTTTTAAAAATTAAAAAAAAAAACCTGGCACCAAAGATCTTAAGAAGTTTTGCAGTGCATTATGAATGTAATTCCCCTTTGGCATTCGCTCAAGAACCTTCAGAAAATATTTTAGTTGCTTTTCATTTAACCTACATATTTATTTGCTTGTTTGTTTTACCATTGTATCTTTGAATGTGACTGCTTATTGACACTGAACTATAGGGTGCCTCAGCTTGATGTAGATTTTATCTGTGTATCATTCTATTCAGAAATTCAGACCCAGAGAGAAAAATCAAAATCCTCTGGCACCTGAAAAGGTGTCAAAAGCTTTAGTTAATTGGTGAGTTACTTTTTGTTTTATAATAAATTATATGTGGGTTGGCCTGGCTTGGCCTAGTCACATAATAGCAGAATTCCCAACAGCCTCTGCTTGAGCTCTATTTGCTGTTGTCCCATTGGCCAAACCAAGTCACCTGACTAAGCCCAGTGTTAGTATGGAAGGTAAAATCCACCTCTTGATGGGAACTGCTGTAAATCACTTTTCAAAGGGACCTGGATGGAGAGAGGGGAGTGATTTTTGGCCATTTGTGCAATCTGCCATTTTCAGTGAAAGAACATGGTAGTAGGGCAATATAAGCTAATTAAAAGGCCTTGATACTTAATACTTAACTGCTATAAATTAAAAACTGGTTAACTAAAGAGCTAGAAATGAGGTTTGAGGAGGTACGGAATGGAGTAGGTGGGGATTTTTTTTCTTTGTATCTTTATTTTATGTCACTGTGGTGACAAACAACCGTTACCTTTATGATGTGTGAGATGGAATCTAGTAAAGTGTATCTATTAGCTCTCTAGCGCTTCTGTAATACATCACAGATTTAGTAACATAAAGCAAAACTTATTTATTCTCTTAGAATTTCAGAGGTCAGAAGTCTAAATGAGTAGGTAGGACTATGTTCTTTCTGGAAGTCCTGGGGGGGAGTCCATTTGCTTGCCTTTTCTAACTTCTAGAAGATACCCACACGCCTTGGCTCATGACCCTATATCACTAGGACTCCTGCCTCAGTCTCCTGTCCCTTTCTCACTCTGACCTTCCTACCTCACTCTGATAAGGACCTTGTGATTACACTGGGTCCATCAGGTAAACAAGGATAATCTCCCCATCGTAAGATCCTTCATTTAATCACATCTGTGACGTCCCTAAAGTAACATAATCACATGTTTGGAGTTTAGGAAGTAGGTGTCTTTGGGGAGCATAATTCAGCCTGCTGCAATGTATATATTAAATTAACTGATTGATTTTAAAGCCCCTCGGGGAATCTGATACTCAACCAGGTTAAAAAACCCTTGTCCAAAGGTGTTGCTCTTCTTCTCAGGGTGTCCACAGTATTAAGACCCATCTTCTCAGACAATCATCCCACAATCTCTATAGGATCAGGCTTAAATATCTGCATATTACCATGTGAACCTCAAGGAAGTTGCATACTTAGATACAATAAGGTTTCAGTTTGGTATTTAGGTGGTTTTTGTTTCTCCAACTAAGGGGTTCATTGTGCTGTTTTTCTAGAATAACTGGACTTGACTGAGCTTGACCTCATGACAGAGACCCCAGACCATATCTGTGGCTAACCCACCACTACACACCCAGAGACCTGGCAAAGAGAAATAAACTTCACATTTGGTACACTCTTATTACTTAAGCACTGCTGCTGTTCCCTTCTGACTGATCAGTAAAGTCAAACGTAAGTTTTCCCACAAATAGTTGGTGGCACTCTTGTATGTTTACTGGGTACATGGCAGCATCCAAATCTTTTGCATGGAGGAGTCTCAAGGTAGTACATTCGGGTCAAGTGGACGTGGAAATTTAAGTAGAACAAACATAAGGGCTGTTGGCTCCAGAAATAAGTTGACTGCCTTCAGATTCCATTTTCCTGTTTGCTCATTGTCTTCAGCAAGGCTGGGAAAGACTCCGAAACCACTATGAGAGGTTTCTTAAGTGGAAGCCAAGAGTATCAATGTCCATCTCCTGGAGAAAATACAAAATTTAAGACTGGGAAGGGGAATTTTTCTGGTCTGTGATTTACAATATTTTAATTGAAAAAATTAAACAGATACAGTATTCCTACCTTTAACTGTGATGAAAATCAGTTTTATGACTACCACATAGTTCCACAGACTTGAGACAGAACTTCCTATTCATGCTCCCGGGGGAGAGGTCTTCATTGTGTATTGTCATTGTATGTCTTAGCCTTCCACCGTTGACAGTTTAACCAACGATCAGGGAAAGTAGACCAGATCCACTGGCACCTTGCTCTTGGACTTCCCAGCCTCCAGAACTGTGAGAAATAAATACTTGTTATTTAAACCACTCAATCTATAGTAGTTTGTTACAGCAACCCAAGCAAACTAAGACAGTCCTCATAGTTCCTTAGAGGTTTTGCTCTATGCAGTCCCTCTGCCTGGAATGCCCTCACTCTGATCTATGCGGACCTGGCTCTTTCTTGATATCCAGAACTCTGCTTGACTGTCACCTCCTGAGAAAAGCCTTCACTAATATCATCCATTCTAGAGGAACTGTCAAGACACCCTCTAACCTTCCCTAATTTAACAATCTTCATATTACTTGGTACTTGCTGATATTTTCCTTTTTTTCAGACTTATATATCTATTTTTATTGCCTTTCATACCCAATTATAATATAAATCCAAGACAGCAAGAGGGAATTTGTATATTTGGTTTACTACTATGTCTCCAACACCTAGAAAAATGCTCAGAGCATAGTGAGCACTTGGGAAATATTTTTCATATTAATGAGGAAAGCCAGAACATCATACCAACATCCAAGGTAGCCAGCTATTGCTTCCTCTTTCCAACTTCAGAACACATTCTTTAAAGGTGTACATTATCTGAAGTCTTAAGGATTTATTTCAATAATCCATGGGATTCTAAAGTAGCAAGTGATATCTTTTCTTTAACCATATATTTACTCCGGAACTAGATTTCTCAAGACTGCTTAATTCAAATGTTCTCAGGCATTTGAGTTACAGCCTGAATTTGAGCCACCCATCTTATCTCTGCCTACTCAGCCTCTAATATTGCCTAAAAGAAATGACTTGACTGGTTCATTCGAATATGGAATGGAATTCCCCATACCAGAGTTCATGCCCTGCAGCCAGAGACTACCAAGAATAAAGCCCAGCTGGGGCTGTGGTTCCTTGCAGCAAGGGAGAAAGCACACTGTGAGGATCTGAGAGCCATCTCAGTAAGACAGTGTTGGAAAGCACTTTTTATGGGATTTGAGCTGGTGGTAGTTGATTTGGGAAGGGCTCAAGGAAGCAGGTCTTTTTTTTTTTTTTTTAGTTTTTATTTATTTATTTGAGAGAGAGCATGAGAGGGGGGAGGGTCAGAGGGAGAAGCAGACTCCCTGCCGAGCAGGGAGCCCAATATGGGACCCAATCCCGGACTCCAGGATCATGACCTGAGCCGAAGGCAGTCGCTTAACCAACTGAGCCACCCAGGCGCCCCTCAAGGAAGAGGTCTTTTCGGAGGATTGGATGCTCTCCAGAAGTGGAGGTAATTCTCTGATTGGGTATCTTCCATCATATCTAGGATAAGGGAAGACTAGAATGAGGCTAAAGCTGCAAATGTTATGGCAGCAGCAGTCACTCGGATGAACTGGAAGAAGGGACATGTGGCATTTTGTGGTTTATACCATGACCTTGTTTTCATCTGTGCTTAGATAAGGTTATGAAATTTGTTTTTGTTTTTTGGGGTGTGTGTGTGTGTGTGTGTGTGTGTGGTTTTTTGGTGTCACTTGATCACAATCAAACAGTGACCCTATCAGATTTTAGGGTGCTGGGAGATTCTGAGAACACCATGACCTAGCTATGAATGCCAGGTCAGCTGCTAACCACATAGAGACCCAGCTGTTAGGCCAGATCCCCAAGTCAGGGGTTGCTTTTCTCATTTTCACCAGCCATCTCAGAGATGACTGCACCCCTACCCCTCCGTGACTAGCCCACATATGGTTATGTTGAGCTTTTTTCTGATCATAGGATTGTGTAGCGATACAGCTTCCTCCCCGCAAATGCTGCACAAGCTATTGTAACTTGCCATGGAGAGACATAATCCTCTCTCCTCCAAACGTAGCTAGGTGTGGTAAGTAAGTCCCTGAGATTTCCTCTCTTAGAGAAGGGTACAGTTGCCTCAGAGTGGGAGGGTAAGGGTCTGGGCTAAGACAGTGACAGTGTGGATGTGGAGAAAGTAGGGTCCAGGATGTTGAAGAGGTCACATTCATCAGATCATCAGAAAGAGGAACTGAGGATTCAGACATTGCTAGCTTAGGAGACTGAGTATTAATGATGTTATCAGTGAAGATGGAACTTATTAGTCCACAGCAGGTATTGGGGGGAAGGTGATAATTTCTGTTTGGGACATATTCTATTTGTGGTGCTCAAGGTAGAGATGACCTATAGGCAGTAGAGTGCAGGATTAAATGGAGAGGGTTAGTGCTGAACCTCATCAACACGGAGAAAGCAGGAAAGCACCTTAGATAACAAAGGACAACATAGAGATGAGAGAGAAGGGCTCCTGAACAAAGAAGCAAACTGGAAAAGAAGAAACTGGAAAAATGAAAAAGTATAAGTTTATCCAAAGTCAAAATCGAAGTTAAGAAAGGACTAATAAATGCATGCTATAAAAAAAAAAATCTAAGACATCTCGGAAGTCAAAAACTATGACTGCCCAGTAAATAGTGGCCATTGTCACTCATTTGTTTATTCAGGAACTATTTATTGAGCACTAAGTGCCAAGGGTTATTCAGATCCTGGAAATAAAATAATGGGGGGGGGAGAAAAGAGACAAAAATCTCTGCCCCCCTAAAGCTTACATTATAGTGGGGAAAACAAATAATAAAATGAACAACTAACTTAAATGAGATTAAGTGGTAATAAGTATTTTGAAGAAAAACAAGACAGTGTAGGAGAATGGAAGGTATGGAAGGGAGGGAGATTTTTTCATTTTTAGATAGGGTGTTCCTCAACTATGAAGTGAGCTTTGCAAAATGATTTAAAGTACATGAAGAATGAAGTGATACAATTACCTTGTCAGAACATTCTAGACAGCAAGAAAGTTCTCGTTGTTAATGTTAGCTAGACCAACAAGAGAAGAATAGCCTTGCCTGGTGCCTTACACATAGTAGGTCCTCAGTATACGTGCAATGAATTAGCACAGTGGATATTCATAAAAGTATCAAGTAATCGACTGATTCTAGAATCTCAATCAATATATGGGCATGACAGTAGATTGATTTGGAAAAAAATAAAAAATATTTAGGAATACCTTATCAATAAAATATACATTTAAGGGTTGCAACTTAACAACTTAAAAGATCTCCTTTTGTTTCCTTCCTTTTCTCCTAGAGTAGGTATCAAAGAGATAACTCATGCAATAGATATTTGAAGGATTAGAATGTGGGTGTTTGGGTCAACTAGTTTGGGTTTTTGTGGGGGCTGATATTTTGTTGTCCTTTTGCTTCTGTCCATTGTTTCATCAAAAAAGAACTTCTTATATAAACATTACAGTCTTGCTCTGATTGACAAACAGCAGTACATGATGGTTTCTTATTGCTGAGGGATCTGATATAAAACGGATCTCTATACGCATGTACATACACAATTTATAACAAGACTCGGTGTTAAAAGTTAAATGTGTCTTGATTTTTGAGAACTGAAATATTTGCCTTTCTGCCAGTGCCATGAAGAGTTCATAAATGATGGAAGTACTTTGGCTTTCAGCAAGATGCTATTTCTTCGCAATGCTACCTCTTTGGGGGACAAATATGAAAAATAAAATGTGTCATTTTACATGATACAGAGTCTTTTTATTGTCACCTTCCTGCCTTTAGAAGTGAAAGGAACAAATCATAAAAAGACATACTGTTGGTGCAGGTTCTGTGTTAAATTTAGATATTCTAATGGAGGTTACAATTCAGTGAGTCTTTCCTGTGTCTTTTATTTCTTCCATTCCTTATCCATGGGCAGAGTGACCTGGTAATAAAGCACTGAACCTCGAATAGGATGATTTATGTTTGGCTGGCAGCCTTTCTCAGCTCATATCTCTTGGATATGATGATTTTCCTACCAACTTACTCACAGGAGTAGTTGTTAATATCCATCAGATCAAGCCCTGAAAATTTAAGAGAGGTGGATGTGTACACATGTGGCTTTAAAGACAATTTGCCAAATTTTCAGAGAACACAGTCATGATGATCAATTATATATATATATAATTATGTGTGTATATATATATATATATATATATATATATATATATACACACTTTTTTTTCAGTCTTAGAGACTGATACTTAAAAAATTAATGGAACCACACTGAGATTACTTCACATCCACTAGGATGGCTATAATAAAAAAGACAAACAATAACAAGTGTTGGTAAGGATGTGGAGAAATTGGAGCCCTCATACATTGCAGCTGAGAAAATGGTACAGTCATTACAGAACATAGTTTGGCAGTTCTTCAAAAAGTTAAACATAGAGTTACCATATGACCCAGAAGTTCCATGCCTACATATATACCCAAAAGAATTAAGAATGTATGTCCACACAAAACTCATAAACAAATGTCATAGCAGCATTATTCATAATAGCCAAAAAATCAAAACAACGCAAATGTCCATCAACTGATGAATGAGTGGTTAAATAAAATGTAGTAAATCCATACAAGGGATTAATATTCAGCCACAGAAAGGAATGAAGTACTGATAACTGTTATAACATGGATGAGCCTTGAAAGGCATGCTAAGTGAAAGGAGCCAGCTATGAAAGTCCAGATACTGCTTGATTCCTTTTATGTTGAAATGTCCGGAGTAAGTAAATCCACAGAAACAAGCAAAGATTAATGGCCTCCTAGGACTGGGGAGTTTGTGGGTAAATGAGGAGTGACTGCTAATGGTTATGGGATGTTTTTTTAATGGGTGGTAAAAATGTCCTGAAATTAGATAATGGTGGTGTGTGCACAACTTTGTGAATATACTAAAAAGTCATTGGACTGTACACTTCAGAAGAATGACTCTTATGGCATGTGAATTGTATCTCAAAGTTATTTTTTAAATGTTTACATCAAGGACTTGAAAGTTGACTATCAGATGATATAAAGGGATTATTGTTAATTTTTGATATACTATTTTAAATTTTTTAGCACAAAATTTAATTTTTGACATAATATGGTAATGTTTTCAAAACAGGTTATACAAAGATGATCATTAAATACTTATGAATAAATTTTTTAAAAATTAGTTGCAGGAGCACTAGGGTGGCT